ACATCTTCCTGTCCGTCGTCTCCAAACTCGATGCGTAGGCGGGATTATCGGCGGGCGTCCATAGCAGGACGTTCCCATCATCTCCAGCGGAAGCCAAGAGCTCTCCTGTGCGGGCGTAAGCGAATGAAAAGCAGTTCAGAGGAGACGGAGAGTTATACACACCTCGAGGACACCATCTGACAACGTTGACTGCTTGTGTGTGCTTGCGGAGGGTCGACAGGTAGGTCACCTTGCGTTCATCCGCATTGCTTTCGATGCTCCATAGCTGTTTGTCGCTCAGGTCAGCTCGGATTTCGGCGATGCTGCTCCAGCTCGATGGTGCCTACCCTGACGTTGCTGTCGCCGCCTGCGGTTGCGAGTCTGCCTTTGCCCTGTCGTTCAAAGTGTGCAGAATAGATGGGACCGTTGTCGTCGTGCCAGGCCACCAAAAGCGGAGCGGCTTTCATGGTGATTGCGTTGCTGGCATGCGAGCCAGGAGAGGGCGTTTGGTGTGCACCACGGAGAGGTGGGGAGTGGGGGGGGGGGGGGGGGAGGCGTGTGGAAGTGGAAGTGGCAGTGGCAGTGGTAGAGTGACGGAGTGGAGAGGCAAATAGCAATGGCCAGGCAGTGTGCAGTGTTCCGGTGCTGCTTGAAGCACGAGGTTACCCGCTACCGCCAGTCCCAGCTGCAGTTCGAGATGGAGAAGTGCAACGGCTCAGGCTCAGGCTCAGGCTCAGGCACAGGCTCAGGCGCAAGCTCAGGCGCAAGCTCAAGCTCGCCGGGGTCAGCTCTGCACAATGCACAATGCACAATGCACAATGCACCACACGTCTGTCTGGCAGTTCGCGGCAGTGTGAGGAGCAGACGCGCTCCCAAGGCCTGAGGCAGCTGAGAAAGTCGCGCACTGTACAAATCGGATCGTTGCTGCTGCAGCTGCACGCAGATTGTCTGACAATGTCTGTGCGCCGGCGACCTGTCTCTTGTCTCGCTCTCTGTCTCTCGCGGCGACATCTCACCACACTACTAGAATACTGCAAGCAAGCTGTGCACGCCCGAACATTATTGCCTGCCCAGTCGAGGCGTCGAGGCATCGCAAGGTCTCACCTCGACTCGACGCCCCATGTCATGTCTCATGTCATCAATGTCTGACGCTGGAGTGCACTGCTTCAGCTTCATCAATTGGCGCATTTCTACTTATCCGTCTCGTCGGGCCTCACGTGCAGCGCAGCGCAGCCAATGTTCTCCTGTATCAGCACCCTGCCAGCACCCTTTCATTCAACGCCGCCATACGCATGTGCGAGACCAATGCTTGTCGTTGTTCTCGACACTGACCTGTCATCCAACCCTTGGCCAGAGATCGGCTAGGTTAAGTCGGTCGCGCGCGCGACTATAATTAACGCGCAATATAGTGCGATTATTATTAAGTCGCAGGTATAACTCGCAGGCATACAATATATGGATTTTGCAGTAGATTAGACCTAAGACCTAAGACAATAGATTATAGATATTAACCCTTCTAAAAGCAGTCTCTAGAGCTACTTCTTCTACGTATTCGTTATAAGCAGGCAGATTGCTATTCAAACTGTCGCTAACAACGTTATAGATAGCGCTCTATAACAATACTATAGCATTAGCTACTACTATAACCTCTTCCTCGTCTATTTACTAGAGCTATTCCTAAGTAAAGTCGCCGCTAGTAGGTAGAGTCGTCTACTTCTGCTTCTTATTACTATTATTATTTAAGACCTCGCTACGAAGGACTCGATAGTTAAAGTAGATAAAGATTAGCTAATTAAGCCGCTCTATAGTTAGACGAGAACGGAGCCTTATCTATATTAGTTTAAGGGCTAAGAACGTCCGCTTAGTAGTTATAGTATTAGCTATAGCTTAATAAAGCCGTAGAGCGTATATTACTAGCAATAGTAAAGTAGTAGCCCTATTACTCTAGAAGATCTTTATATTATCGCTATAGCGTATCTAGTAGTCGTTAGAAGCGGTAAACGAGCCTCTCTTATAGATATAATCGTACTAAGCGGCTTCGATAGCAAGCTGCTTCTCGGTATCGTTTATAGTAGCTCTTAAGGTATCGAGTATAAGGGCTTGCTTAGTAGAAGTCGGCTTTACGCCCTACTAGACTATCGCTAGGTTAAAGAAGTATACTACCTAGTAATACTTAGTTGTTTGCCGTATAAACCTCTCTTACTATCTAGTAATAGTTGCAGTCGACCTACGAGTAATAAGAACGTACTAGACACCTTCGAGAAGCTTACGAATAGGTAGAGGGCTAGTATCGACCTGCTTCTCGAGAATAGCTTTATAGGCAAGCTAGCGAGGTATTACCTTCTCGAGCGTAGCTTCTTTAGATTAAGATAAGATTAAGTAGTTATTAAGTAGCTCTAGTAGATTAATTACTGCGGAAAGATTACTCTAAAACTTATAGTCCGTAATTAAAGAACGCGCGTTATAGTCTAGAGTATAGAGAGGGTCGCGAATAAGCTCTTAAAGGGCATACTTGCTACGTTTAAGTAACTTAAAGAGGGCGATAATAGTCGGCTAGCGAGTGTTATATATACTAATAAGTAAGAAGGTCTTATTATATACCTCTTTCTATTTGCGCTTTAGAAGCTAGTATATCGCCTTTTTCCGCGATAGGTAAGAGATAAGGTGCTAAGCCTAGTCGTATAGAACCGCTATTTCTAGGTATTTAAAGAAGTCTCGCATTAACAATACGCTTCTATATAAGTCGTACGGCACTATAATAACGTAACTTAGCGCTTCGTCTTCTTCTAGTAGATATATTATCTTTAGGTTTGTTATATATATATTAAACGCGATCGAGCTAACTTTCGATAGGTCGCCGCTAGTAAGCTATTTATACTTCGCCTTTGTCTAGCGCGCGCCTTCTTTACCGCTTTTATTAATAGTCTCTATTTAGCGCGTTTCGATAGTATAGTAGCTAGTCGAGTCGACGAACGATAAGATAGTAACGCCTATACTATTACCGTTAGACGTACCGTCGATTTGTAGGTTTAACTCTTTAGCGCACTTAATCTTTACTAATATCTTCTTTTCTAGCTTCTCGAAGTACTATAGTAGCAAAACGCGTCGAATTCGCGTCGCATTCGGAGGCTCGAAAGATAGATATAATACCGCGAATAAGGCCTTAATAGCTAGCTTCTCGAAGAATATAAAGAGCTTATTCTCCTCGAAATAGACCGCGGCGTATAATTCCTTAAGATAGTTATATTAGTTGTTAGTTAACGCGACCTACGGCAATTTAGTCTAATCTATCGTACCTAGCTCTATTTTCTACGCCTTAAGACGCTTCTTATACCCTTCGATATGCTCCTTATTTCGAGTTAAGTCCTTAATAGCGTCGTATATATAAAATCGATACGTTACGCGTCGCTTCGCTCTATAGTCGTTATACTACTTAAAAAAGCGGTAAATAAGGTAGTTAGGCTTAGCTATTAAAACACGTAATAAGAGGCGGTAGTAAGGTTATCTAAGCGATAAGATATACTATCTAAATAGCAATAATAGCGATAGTATAGTATATAGCAATAAGATACGCAGTAGAGGCTAAATAATAGGAAATAGACGCGATTTAGACGATATCTATACGCTATACTCTATGCGACTTATAATAGGTACGACCTATAGAAAACGCTATACTAATAACCTACAATAGGTCGCTCGCGGTAACACGCGTGCGATTTAATATAAGTCGCTCACATCGCCGAAGCCTGCCCTTGGCCTCCCTGTTCGCTGCATTGACCATCTCTACGAGCTCGTTAAGTTACTGCATTTCTGCGTCTCTCGCTTTCCGAGAATGCAAAACCCGCCCTGCACGCTGGTCCTACTCATTTCCCAATGTCGGACTTATTCTTCAGAGAAGGCTGGCAATTGACTGTCGACGTGAACTCCATTCAACCCGGATTTTCTTCCCCACACCCTAGCCCTAGCCCTTTCCAACCAGATCGAAGAGGCAGAGGCAGCTCCTTTGAACGTGATCGTGGATGTGAGTGCGGTTGCGCACAGCCACAAGCTGGTCAGAGCTTCGCTTCGCCCACTTGGCTTGGCTTGGCTGCGTTACTTGAGTCCGGATCTACTTCGAAAACCATCTTCATCTGCGTGACAGCCTTGCAACGTGCCTGAAACCGATCCCATCCGGCCACAATAGACGCAAAGCGGAAGAAGACGGACGCGTCGCCAGTCGCTGACGTGTCGTGTCGTGTCGTGTCGTGGCGATGGGTAAAGGCAAAGCACATCTGCACGCGAGAGTCGCTTATCTCCAGAAAGCTGCTACATACTTGGCATCACAGCACATGCAGGGAGGGAGTCCTGATGACACGCGCCATCATTTGAAGCCCTCCGAGAAGCCTCGCGATGCCAGCACTGGGATCGATTTTGCCACTTCCTCTCCGCCTCAAAACCACTGCGAGAACCCCGATCCGCGGGATTCTGTCCACCACAACGCTCAGAACAACGCCCCGGAGGCTCAACTATCGCCAATGGGCGGTCTTGCCTACCATATCTCTTCACAGACCCGTCAGGTGGCTCTCAAGTCGCAGATTCGCCCGAGCTCCGATTTCAAACAGTTGAGCTGCAAAGTTTGCAATGCAGTGCTTGTGCATGACCGCACCTGCAAGAGAGCCATTGAAAATGCGTCCCGTGGAGGTCGGAAAACGCACGCCAATGTGTTGGTGGTGGAATGCATTGCATGCGGCACCAAGAAACGCTATCCAATTGGTGCCAAGCGACAGCAGCGAAAGAAGCTTCGAGCGGTCATAGGAGACGGCACCCCGTCCGATCCCACTCAGCCCGTCCATTGACATCCGTCTGTCTACGGTATTGGATGGCATCAAAATGTAGTGCTTGATGGCATGCGCCTCATGTGCACATGCCGTTGCTGCGCCTATCCAAAGAAGATGTTGAGACGCTGCTTCCGCAAAGAGAACGTCTCCCGAAGTCCAATCTCACCACCTGCTTGGCTCTGTTCGTCGGGCAGAAGTAGCCAACCTACAGCAGAACTCTTCCCAACCTCATGCTCTAAAATGCATGGCGAGTCATTGTTTGAAGACCGCGCCAGTTGGGACCACAACGGTCGGCAAACTGCTGCAAGTAGACGAAAGTCTGTTCTGAAAGATGCATGAGCAAAGGATCATGTGCAATCGGATTGTGTCGCGAGGACGGGTTCCTGTGCCATGTGCGGCACGCCCATGCATGTACAACATCGGAAGCTAAATCGAACGACTTGGATCCCTCGAATCGCATGATGAGTAGCTCGAGAAGCCTGCGCGCTGGCCGCTTTCCGACAAGAACGCCTGAGCCAGTATGGACAGTGTTCCTTGACGCCAGATTGCTTTGTTTCAACGAGCCCATGCATCAGCCCCGATCTTGGCATCACAGTAGGTCTCAGAAAGCGGATTATTCTTCACCATCAAGTTTGGCCACTCATGCTTCAAGCATTACGCCAATACTGGGGAGCGCCCTCTAGAAGAGCTCATTCCTTTGTCGAGCTATCTCCTGATACGCTTGCTCGTCACAGAACCGATCAAATGCATGCTGCATGCAGACAGGAATCAAATGGAAGCGTACTCAGACGATTCGGGCCGCATGCGATCTCACAAATCAGATTCCTTCCCGCCGTAGCCAACTGCCTGCATATGCCGTCACAGCCATGGCCACGCCGGAGGTCGCAAATGAGAGCATGCTGCAAGGCGGCCGACTGCGCTTCCTGTCCTGTCCTTAAGTAATATCCACCATGGCTCAATGGATGCTCCTCATGGGTAGACAGGCGAAGAACCTCAAGCTATTCACTCTTGACTACATTTCAACGGCTGTCACGATGATCTGGAAGAGGTTGACGCAGACCCACGACGATCTTGCAGGGAATCCGAAGCGTAAGGATACCCTCCGCGAGCTGTCCTTTGGGACCTGTTCTGTTGCGTTCCAGCAGGACGGCGCTCGGTCATGCTGCGCGGTGCTTGTGGCATTGAACGATCGAGCCTGGCTTCAATGCTTCGGAGGGTAGTGTTCATGACATCAATATCGTCGTTCAGGCTTGCCAGTGTTGTGTTGTACCTCTCAGCAAGCTGAAGCACTTTCTCCATCGTGCCATCCTTCCTGGTGGTCAGGTCAGCTTAGACCCGGACACTCCAAGCATGTAGTTGTTCATCTCCGGACCTACTTCGTTGGAGGAACATCACGATACTTGCAGCTCGTGGCCTGCTCTGAACACGGCTGACAAGGCTCGCCGCCATCGCACTTTTGCTTGCGCTTGCGACATTCTTCACATGCCTGCGAATCATCAGCCTAGGTCGTAGGGAGACGGTGAAAAGCGCACTGTTCTGGTCCGCTTGATTCTTCTTGCATGCCGACCCGAGTCTGAATCAGACGGTGATTGCTGAGATTGCCGTGTTCTCTCTGCTTGTCTGGACGCGCTTGCCGGTGCTCTTGGGACTTGGAACACGACCGGGCTCGTGTTGGAAGGCTGATACTGCTGGGGCATGTACATTACTGCTTGACCATTGCCTGAGTCTTGTGCAGCGTACGTGGCCATTTCTGGGGCATATCCGTATGCGGCATTTGGCAGAACTGACGCGTACGGTGCTGCCGGCTCTTCGTATTGCTGCCAGTCTGGATCCATAAACCCGTCATACGTAAAAGAGCTCATCTTCGCGTCTTTAGCTCCAGGAAACCTCGCTAGGTCCCAAGAATCGAATAAAGTTCGAGATCCGGTCTAGCACGACCACTGCAGAGAGACTGAAGCCGGAGTAATAGAATTTGACAATTATTAGGACAGCGTAAAGGGTCCGACTGAGCCCTTAAAACGCATGGACAAGGACCTTGAGTGGGTGCCGCGGCAAGGGAGTGTGCTTTCCCATGAATAATGGACTGAAGACAGAGAGGATGCACACTGCACAGTACGTTGTCGCCGAACCTCATTTCGACGGATTCTAGCCCAAAGCGTTCAGTGCTATTGCTAGCGGGCAGTACCGATCGCGCGCATTGGTGTCGTGCATAGCTGAACTCAATTCGCATCTATGGAATAGCAGCAAGCATGTCTGATGCGCGGAACAAAATCGCGCCCTCACTAGATCCAAGATGGCCAACTTTCGGCAACACCGTATACAGTCTACGGCTCGGATATCACTCCGATGGTGCAGAGGAGGCAATACCCAGCATGTAGAAGATCAGCCTTGTGATCTTGTTGAACCTGGTCTAGAACTTCGTGGCTGGCCCTGAGACCGGTGTCCTGCAGTCATGGTAACACCCGAGACCTTGGTTGAGGCAAAATGACGCGACGAAAGGGGGGACTCTGGTTGGACATGCTCACTGGCTTATATGCTCGACCCAGCTCGTCAACCATCCCCTTAGGCCCCGACCGCTTGCTATCGATTATAGCATAATCGCGTGGATTATAGCCACATCGATTATAACAACTAGTATAACCTGTTATTGTCCGATTGTAATCGATTACTACTTTCTAGGTTATATAGTATGCTCGTAATCTCGCTATACTATTACTATATATAGTATAATCGGTAAAACTAGGTCTAGAGGTAGTTTTAAAGCTATCCGTACGCTAGTTAGACTTCCGCCTAGCGCCGTAGTATCTACCTCTTTTTAACGCTATAGAATTCGATAGTATAGCGATTTAGAGGTATAGGTAGACGATAGACGAGTTAACGGCCTTATTATTAGCGCTAAGCGCACTTAGCGCTATAGTACCGCTTTTCTTCCTCTAAGAGGTACTACGCTTCTATAGGCAAGGCGCCTATTAACCGAGCGGCCGTATATCGACCTAAGTTAAGCGTAATAAGTTTAAGAAAGAGGCGTTTTAAATACTATATAGACCGTAGCGATATTGTTACGATCGGACGCGTTA